CCCGAAACTGCCGCCGCACCGCTGCCAGCGCCGATATCATTGCCTACCCCACAGTGGGCCCTCACCGCCCTTCTCTCCTTCTCCCCACCGCCACCATTCCGGCGCCGTGGCGTCTGCCGGTGCCGCCCTTGCCTGCGCCGCCCCCGTCATCTCAACTCTCCGCCGCCGCGCCACCACCAGCTCCACCACCGTCCCAGCCGCTGCTAGCGATACCGCCGCCGCCGCCTCCACCAGCCTCGCACCTCAGCCGGCGCCGCACGGCTCCTTCTCCGCCGCCGCCGCCGCCTCCAGCCCCTATGCGCTGACGTGGTTGGTGCTGAGCTGCCGCCGCCGCTCGCTCTAAAAGAGAGTCGCGCTGCTTTCCCGGAGCGCTGGTCGCGAGTTCAGTGGCCAGGGCCTCGCCTGAGGGGGGCGGGGGGGGGGGGGCGATGAGGACGTCACCGAGCGGCTGGGGCTGCCGGGAAGGTGGTGGGCGGGGCGTGGATGCACCTCAAATACGAGCGAGTAGCGGGAAGAACGCCCGCTACTCCGGCGGGAGAGTGCTCACCGCCGCCCCCTGGGTCACCTCGAGTGACCTCACAGCCCACACCGTGAGGCGCTGCTGTCAGGGGGGTGTATCGCAAGGCGGCTTTCGCTCCCGTGGGGCGGCTCTGTCCGTCTCAGCACGGCGTCCCGAGGTGTAGCCGTGTACCTGGCGACAGTGCCATCACTCACACGCCTACTCGCGGCACGACCTCAAATGTGACGCGACCGCGAGAGGGCGACCACGGATGGGGCGCGCACAATGGATGGGGCGACCGCGCGAGAGAGTGCCTTTCGGCCTTGTCGAATAAGGGCAATTCCGTTGGCCTTGCCCCTGCCCTGGATTGAGGATGCGACGGAGGTAAGTGGCGTCGATGGTGTGGTCATCCGTGCTCCAATGTCTCTGGTCCTCCCCGAAGCGAGTGTTCACGCATTCTGCGCGCCCCCGTGGAGCGCGCCATCACCTTGCTCGGTTGGACCTGCGAACGAGAGGATTGTGTGTGAGTGCTCAGCAGTCCCCATTGCGCGGCGGTGACGCCGGGGTTCCCTCTGCTGCCATCACCGCCGCCTCGACCGCCGCTACCACGCTATCTCCTGTGGCTGCCATCGATGTGTGGGTGAGAGGTGTCTGGGGGCTGGCTGGGGCGGGTGAGTGGCGTGAGGGCCGATCGGCATCACGGGGCCCTCTTCCTCCCCTCGGGCGAGGCGCGCCGCGCCTCAGCGCCCTCCCTCCGGACGATGTCCCCACGAACCGGCGGGCTGTCCCCACGCAAACCGGCGATGTCCCCACGGCTCACAAAACCGCCAATGGCCGTTATCCGTTAGTGCGGACGTCGCCGCGGCTCGCCTCTGCCGCGGCGGCTGCTGCGCGCACGCGGCGGCGCCGCTCTCTCGCGAGACGGCTGGCGACGCGGCTCGCCGCCGACGTACGGTGCGCTCGTCCGACGGTCCGCGGCGTGGCGTGCGCGGCGCTGAGCGCCGCTCTGCGAGCGCCTCTGCGCCTGCACTGCCTGTCTCTGTTGCTGGTGGTGGTGGTGGTGCTGCTGCTGCTGGTGCCGATGCTGCTGCTGGCGCGGCGCGGCTGTGCGACTGGGCTCGACGCGCGCGTCGCGAGCGTCTGACGCGGCGGGCGGCGTCGGGCAGGTGCGCTTCTCTCTCGGGTGGTGGTGGTGGTGCTGCTGCTGCTGCTGGTGGTGCAGGTACTGCTGCTGGTGCGGCGCGGCTCTCCGACGCGACTCGATGCGCGCGTCGCGGCTATCTGACGCGGCGGGCGGCGTCGCGGGCGGCAGCGGTGGCGGCTCGCGGGTGGAGGTGGAGGCTGGTGGCTGTGGTGGACTTTGAGTTTATTTCATGGTCGTGTACGGGGACCGGGGGGTCAACCGGGAGGCAGGGGGTTCAACCAGGCGACGGAGGAGGACCGTGGACCATCGCGGGGACGGACCCGCCCGGAGGGCGCGTCCGGTAGATCCGGATGGTCTCACGCCGGTGGGAGGCACCGAGGCGTCTTGTACGCTCAGCTCTACCTTAAGCTCCTGAGGGGCGCGTGGTTGTAACCACGTAGTAGGACTACAGCCCACCACAGACACCCTCCCCCACTCCTCACGTGTGTTCACACCCTCACCCTCTCCTCTCTCCTCTCTCTCTCTCTCTCTCTCCTCTCTCTCCTCTTGTCTGTGCTGTCTGCCTGACTCAGGCACTCAATCTGCCGATGCGTGATTGTGTGTGGGCTGCTCCGAGGGGGCCCTCTGTGCGATCCGACGGGTAGGGGGGCTGTGCCCGGGCGGTGTCCGGTGTGGAGTCCCCTTCTGATCCCGCCTGGGATGTTGGGTGTGAGGTTGTGGCGGCTTCGATCCCAAGGGGGGGAGCTGATCCCACTCAATAACCAACTCTCAGGGGCAGTAGGTGGGCGAGCTTCAGGCACGCTCATCTCGATCGTCAAGGCGTTGCTACGCGCGGTCTTCCGCGGGGGGAGCTGCGTCGACGGGTGCGGGACCGCGGCGCAGCCAGTGCCGCGGCGAGGCCTCCGGCTGTTTGCGGCGGGCGGGTTGCTGCTCGCTGCGATGGCGAAAAACTCGTCTCGCCACACGCCAAGGGCTTATGCTCTGGCGAGACGTGAGGCGCATGCGCCCAGGAGGGGAGGGGGCATGTGTAACGACACTGCTAGAGATGCCTTTCGGGGCCCAGAGATAAAACTTCTGTGATGCCATGCGTGACCTAGTAGTGTCCCCAGCTATGGGCGTGTCCACGTTGGAGCCAGGTGTGGTGTGGGCGCGAGAATAGCTCCGCCGTTCATGGAGGCAACCGATGCGAGTCGACTGGTGTGTGTCGTCGTGGTTTCGTATCAAGAATTCTCTCTCTCGCATCAATCAAACCACGCGGAAACGCTGTCCCTAGAGCTACCGATCTGAGCCGCCCTATACTTCTTTTTCTGCGGCGAAGCAAGAAAGAAAAGAGAAGAGGGAGGGATGGGAGGAGCCAGTCCGGTGCCTGGGACTACGGCACGTTTTTCTTTTCCTCGCGATGTCTGCCCCACGGCGCCGCTCGCGCCGCCTCGCCTCCGCCGCCGCTCCGTCGCCAAGCACGCCGCCGCCCATCGCCCTCCTCGACCTCCCCACGGACCTCCTCGTGCGCGCCTTCTCTCGCTGCGACCCCGCCGACATCGCTCGCATCGCGGCCATCTCGCTGCTCTTCCACTCCTCGCTTGCGCTGGAGGCCATCCGCTTGTGGGCGCAAGAGCGCGGCTTCGAGCTGCCGGCGCAGCCGGAGGGCGAGAGCTGCGCCGTGCGGTGGCTGTGCCTTTCTGCGCTGCTGCGCGAGTCCAACCCGCCGGCGAGGCTGGCGGCGGGCGCACGGCACAGCGTCTTCATCGACGGTGAGGGGCGGCTCTCGTCGTGCGGCGCGGCAGCGGAGGGCGAGGAGGGCGAGGAGGACGAGGAGGACGAGGAGGACGAGGAGGAGGAAATTGCAGGCCTTCTCGGCCATGGTGAGGGCGTGCTGCAGCTGAAGACGCCGACCCGTCTCCCTTCGCTCCTTGGAGGCGAGCGCGCGATTGGTGTGGCGGCGTCACGATACTTCAGCCTCGCTCTCTCCGCGAACGGCGCCCTTTGGTCCTGGGGCAGCGGCGAGGACGGCAAGCTGGGACACGGCGACGAGGAGGACCAGTGGCAGCCCAAGAATATCGAGGCCTTTGCTGGCCAGCGCGTCGTCGCTGTGTCGGCTGGAATGTCTCACAGCCTCGCCCTCACCGCCGACGACGCCCTCTGGAGCTGGGGCCGTGGATTCTTTGGCCAGCTGGGCCACGGCGACCAGCAGAACCAGCTGCTGCCCAAGAAGGTCGAGGCCTTTGCTGGCCAGCGCGTCGTCGCCGTGTCAGCAGGGTGGTACCACAGCATCGCCATCACCGCCGATGGCGCTGTCTGCAGCTGGGGCTTTGGATATGATGGCCAGCTGGGCCACGGCGACCAGCAGCGCCAGCTGCTGCCGAAGAAGATCGAGGCTCTGGCTGGCCAGCGCGTCGTCGCTGTGTCAGCGGGAGGTCTGCACAGCCTCGCCATCACCAGCAGCGGCGCCGTCTGGAGCTGGGGCTGGGGAGGCGATGGCCAGCTGGGCCACGGCGACACGCAGCACCAGCTACTGCCCAAGAAGATCGAAGCCTTTACTGGGCAGCGCGTCCTCGCTGTGTCGGCTGGAGGCGACCACAACCTCGCCCGCACCGCTGACGGCGCTGTCTGGAGCTGGGGTTGGGGAGGCGATGGCCAGCTGGGGCAGAACCAGCTGCTGCCGAAGAAGCTCGAGGCCTTTGCTGGGCAGCGCATCATCGCTGTGTCGGCTGGAGGCCACCACGGCATCGCCCGCACCGGCGACGGCGCTATCTTCACCTGGGGCAAGGGCGAGAGCGGCTGCCTAGGCCACGGAGAGGACCTGTCGGACCAGCTGCTGCCCAAGAAGATCGAGGTGTGGTCGCAGGAGTGAGAGGGGGGCGAGGGGGGCGTGGCTGATATAGGAGTGCGACCGAGTCGGGAGAGGCCAAGATCCGGATAGGGTGGGAGGGCTTCACAAGCGCTAGACCCTAAAGCGCTACAGATACTGTGGAGGCTGGGTGTGGGTCCTGGGAGCTGTGGATGACGATTGACGTGATAAGAAAGAAAGAAAAACACCGCCCGAGGGAGGGATGGGAGGACGGCAAAAAAGAGAGAAAGCGGATACCCACACAAGAACAACGCACTCTCTCAAAAAAGAAAGAAAGAAAACGGACAAACCCAAGGGAGGGATGGGAGGGCGGCACGCCGCCACCACAACAGGACGGCACGTCCCCAGGCACTTGGACGAAGCGAGTAATTCTTTTTCTGTTGGCCTCCAGCATATTGACATCAGCTCCCCGCGTCCTCCTCGGGTCTGCCCTCTCAGCTGCTCTCGTGTCTGCGCTATTCTCTGCTTCGTCTTCACGTTCGTCTCTCCCTGTTCTTCCGCTTCTCTCTTCACTTGTGCGAGAGCCTTTTGTTGTGAAATTCTCTTGTAATGCTTTGCGCGGCCTTACACTGCGCCGTACTCTCCGACGGGGGGGTGTATACTCCTCCGATACTCCACCTACCGCTACCCTTACCCTCGCCCAGGGCAATGCTGTCTTAAGGTCGACGGGTTCGGCACCGGGCACCGCCTCGGTATAAACATGCGACCGCGGGCGGACCCTCACAAACCACAGATCGGATCTCAGATCCCTCACACATCACAGTTCACATAGGTCATAGCGCGTCGCGTGAGCACCACCCCGAAGCCCAGAAGGACACAAAACACACCTCACTCGACGACGCGCGCGACTCTAGTGTCTATGGGCCAGATACCTTGCTAGAACCTGCAACCTCCCTCCGGCAACCTGCTAACTGGCGAAGGAGGGGTCCGTTACAGTCCTTGCTTGCCTCTCTGCCCTCCACCCTCCAGAGAACCCTACGCCACGGTGATGGCATGAAAAACTCGGGCGGTCGTCAACGGCGCGGCCGCCTCCCACGCGTTTGTCGCGGGATCGTATCGCTCCACCGAGCTGAGGCGGCCACCGCCGTACCCGCCCACAGCGTACAGCTTGCCGTCGAGCGCCGCCACGGCATGAGCCTCCCGCCCCTCCGCCATCGGCGCCACCGCCTCCCACGCATCCAACGCCGGGTCGTACCGCTCCACCGAGCTGAGGGTGCCGTCGTCAATGTTGCAGCCGCCCACAGCGTACAGCTTGCTATCGAGCACCGCAACGGCAAACATCTCCCTCGCCGTCGCCATCGGCGCCACCGCCTCCCACGCGTTCGTCGCCGGGTCGTACCGCTCCACCGAGCTGAGGCTGTCACCGTTGTAGATTCCGCCCACAGCGTACAGCTTGCCGCCGAGCACCGCCACGGTGTGAGAGTCCCGTGCTGTCGCCATCGGCGCCACCGCCTCCCACGCATTCGTCGCCGCGTCGTACCGCTCGACCGAGATGAGAGAGCCTTCGCCGTTGAAGCCTCCCACAGCGTACAGCCTGTCGTCATGCACCGCCACATCGTGACCCTCGCGTGATGTCGCCATCGGCGCCACCGCCTCCCACGCGTTCGTCGCCAGGTCGTACCGCTCCACCGAGCTGAGGAAGCCGTCGTCGTCGCTGTACCCGCCCGCCGCGTACAGCTTGCCATCGAGCACCGCCGTGCGGACACACTTTCGTGTCGAAGGCATCGGCGCCACAGCCGCCTCCTCCCACTCGTTCGTTGACGGGTCGTACCGCTCCAGCGAGCTGAGGAATTCGCCCTCGCTGCCTTCGCCACCGTCGCGGCCGCAAAACACGACCATGCGCGGCCTCTCGCGCTTCTTCAGCGTCTCCTTCCAGCCGCGGCGCCACGCGCGGCACGTCCCCTTGGCGGCGTGCTCCGTGGTCGGCAGCTGGGCGAGGATGTGCGGGGCGAGGTCCGGCGAGAGGAGGACCTCGGAGAGGACCCACTCGGGCTGCTCCACGAGCCGAGCGGCGTGCTCCTCCGCCACGCGCAGCGCGGCGTCGCTCGCACCCGCCTGCGCCTCGATGATGGCGCACAGCTGCGCTGGCGAGAGGCCCGCGACGCGCGCGCCGATGCGGTGGGAGGCCATGGTCAGCGGCACGCGAGTTCTTTCCAAGGAGCGGGCGGCGGGAAAAAAGAAATACGGCCCGACCGAAGTGAGGGATGGCGGGAAGCGAGCTCTTTATTTTTTTATTTTGAGATGTATGAAGAAACGAACGCATTCGGGGCGCGAAATTCTTCCGCTACTCCGCAGGAGAAGCCCCTCCCGCCCGTGCTTGTGCAAGGTGCTGCCGGCTGTGGCCGCAGGACAGACTCAGAGCTCGGTTTTTTTATTGCGGCTGGCCCTGGAGACCTTCCCAGAGAGCTTGGCGAGGCTGTACAGAATGCCAAGAGCATACTGGGCAGGCTCCCGTCGAGCGACGAGCCATGCTGGCTCGTCGCGGGTCGCGAGCTCGAAGACCCGCGCGGCGCGTCGCCGAGCCTGGCGTGCCCGCCCGCACGCCGCGGCCGCAGGCAAGGAAGGCGAGCTTCCTGGCGTCTATGCCAAGCGCGCACATGCCAAAAGACACCTCGCAGCGCGCGTGACGTGACCGAAGCGGCACGCCTCGGCGCCGCGAGAGCAGCCGGTCGACGTCGGCACCAAGCGCGCGGCCGCCGGCGCCTCCGAACCGACAGGGGCGCCGCGGCAGTAGAGAGCACTCCACCTGCCATACCGTTGACTGAGGCGCCGTTCAAGTCTCAGAGACAGGAACTTGGAGCACGCGGCGACAGTTGGAGACGTCGACGAGGCGCAGCCGCAGGCACGAGGACGCGATCGCCGCCAGCCCGCCATCGCGCAGCCCGCTGCAGTCGCCATTGTACAGCTAGAGGTACGGTAGGGTGAGAGAGACTCTCTCTCTTGTAGGGTGTAAGCAGTAAGATATTCACTCCTGCAGCGACGCGCACGCGGCCAGCCGCCGCACCGCGCTGTCCGAGGCGGGCGGGGCGGGCGCGCGCACCATTGTCTTGCAGACATCAGAGACACACACACACACACACAGTGAGTGAGTGAGTATTCTTGATACGAAACCACGACGACACACACCAGTCGACTCGCATCGGTTGCCTCCATGAACGGCGGAGCTATTCTCGCGCCCACACCACACCTGGCTCCAACGTGGACACGCCCATAGCTGGGGACACTACTAGGTCACGCATGGCATCAGAAGTTTTGTCTCTGGGCCCCGAAAGGCATCTCTAGCAGCGTCGTTACACATGCCCCCTCCCCTCCTGGGGCTGGGCGCATGCGCCTCACGTCTCGCCAGAGCATAAGCCCTTGGCGTGTGGCGAGACGAGTTTTTCGCCATGCAGCGAGCAGCAAGCCGCCCGCCGCAAACAGCCGGAGGCCTCGCCGCGGCACTGGCTGCGCCGCGGTCCCGCACCCGTCGACGCAGCTCCCCCCGCGGAAGACCGCGCGTAGCAACGCCTTGACGATCGAGATGAGCGTGCCTGAAGCTCGCCCACCTACTGCCCCTGAGAGTTGGTTACTGAGTGGGATCAGCTCCCCCCCTTGGGATCACAGCCGCCACAACCTCACACCCAACATCGCAGGCGGGATCAGAAGGGGACTCCACACCGGACACCGCCCGGGTACAGACCCCCTACCCGTCGGATTGCACAGGGCCCCCTCGGAGCAGCCCACACACAATCACGCATCGGCAGAATTAGTGCCTGAGTCAGGCAGACAGCACAGACAAGGAGAGGAGAGAGAGGAGAGAGAGAGAGAGGAGAGGGGAGAGGGTGAGGGTGTGTGCACACGTGTGGAGAGGGAGGGTGTCTGTGGTGGGCTGTAGTCGTACTACGTGGTTACAACCACGCGCCCCTCAGGAGCTTAAGGTAGAGTGGAGCGTCCCAGACGCCTCGGTGCCTCCCACCGGCGTGAAGACCATCCGGATCAGCCCAGTACGCCCTCCGGGCGAACGGTCCCCGCGATGGCCCACGGTCCTCCGTCGCCTGGTTGAACCCCCTGCCTCCCGGTTGACCCCCACTCCTCGTAGTCCATCATGAAATAAACTCAAAGACCCACCACGCCTCCAGCCTCCACCTCCACCCGCGAGCCACCACCGCCCGCGACGCCGCCCGCCGCGTCAGATTGCCGCGACGCGCGCTTCGAGTCGCGTCGGAGAGCCGCGCCGCACCAGCAGCAGCATCTGCACCACCAGCAGCAGCAGGCAGCAGCACCACCACCACCAGCACCAGAGAGAGAAGCGCACCTGCCCGACGCCGCCCGCCGCGTCACATGCTCGCGACGCGCGCGTCGAGCCCAGTCGCAGAGCCGCGCCGCTCCAGCAGCAGCATCTGCACCAGCAGCAGCACCATCACCACCACCACCAGCACCAGAGAGAGGCAGTGCAGGCCGCCGCGGCAGAGGCGAGCCGCGGCGACGTCCGCACAACGGATAACTGCCATTGGCGGTTTTCACACACACACACACACACACACACACACACACACACACACACACACACACACACACACACACACACACACACAGAGAGAGAGAGAGACAGGGTGGAGCAAGAACTTGGAGCACTTGGAGCACTTGGAGTGCAGTTGGCAGCCTCACATCCAGGGCCGGGGAGCTCAGAAGCGCACCCAGCGGGCCGGATGATCGGGATCGGGTTACGGGCAAGAGAGCCCTAAAGCGCATTTTTTTCGCTCGGTCGCACCCGTTTGTCTGCCCCGAGTGAGGGCGGCTGTGTGCCCGCCCCAACCGCCAGAGTTAGCTCGAGCCTGGTGTGTGGGAGCAGCATGGGCAGCATACGTCCAGTGTGCGAGTGGTCGCAGACGCACGCGTTTCGGCCGCTCCGCGAGCCGCCGCGGCCCGCCTCTGCCGTCTGTGAGGTCTGGATCACCTGCTCCGGCCTCGGCGGCGGCGCGGCCTGCAACCCGGTCGCGATCGTGCTGTCAGGCACTTCTCCGTGGAACCTGCTCGGGAGGACGGAGTGGTGCCAGCGGACGGCCTCGCCCGCCTTTTGCGCCGTCGTCAGCCTCGATCTCGCGTCGCTGCGCGGCGGCGTCGGGTCGACGCTCGAGCTGCAGCTGCGGCACGTGGAGGAGCCCTTCTGGGACGCGCGCGACGCCGACGAGGCGGCCGCGCTGCGCGCGATGCCGCTCCTCGGCCGCGCCTCCTTCTCTCTCGCCGCTCCTCTCGCCTCCGGCGGAGGCGAGCTGTCCCTCGCGCTGGACGGCGGCGAGGCGGCGGCGCAGGCGCATGCGGGAGAGGCGCTCCCGACGGCGACGCTGCTCGTGCGCCCGTCGGGCGGCTGGCCGCGCAACCGCCTCGCCGACCGCCATTCCGCCGTCAACTTTCGCTTCCTCGACCGCCCGCCGCCGCAGCCGCAGCCGCAGCAGCGCGCAAAGCACCCGCGCCCCAGCCCCGCCTCGCCGCCGCAGCTGCAGCAGACGACGCAGGGCTCTCCTCCTCCTCCTCCTCCTGCGCCTCCGCCTCCTCCTCCTGCGCCTCCTCCTCCTGCTCCTGCGCCTCCTCCTCCGCCGCCTCCGCCGCCTCCGCCGCCGCCGCTGCCACCGTCGCGGCCGGCGGCCGCCGCCTCCTCGAGAATTGGCGCGGGAGCGTCGTCGTCTCCGCCGCCGTTTCAGCTTCGTTAACCAGCGCCACTGGCTGCCGAGTAGGTGCGGCGGCGGCGGCGGCGGCGCCTGTTCCGGCGTTGCGGGTGTCTGTCTTCCCCGCGGCGGCGCGCGCGAACGCCCCTCCGGCAATGCCGCCGGCGGGCGGGGCGGCGGCGGGCGGGTCGGCTTCGTGCGGAGCTTCGTGCGGCTGCGTGGCGAGCGAGGCGTGCGCGGGCGGCGGCGACGGCGGAGGAGGCGGAGGCGGTGGCGGAGGCGGTGGCGGAGGCGGTGGCGGAGGGGCGTGGAGCGGCGTGCAGCTGCGCGTGTGCGAGCACATGGCGCGCTGCGCGTACGGGAGGACCGTCCCCGCCGCCGTGCTGGGGATGCTTCTCGCGGAGGCGGAGTCGAACGCCGCCGCGCCGCCGTCGCACGGGCTGTGGCCGCGGTCTGACTCGCGCCTCACCTCGGGCCGCTCTTCGAGCCCGGCCTCCTCCTCCTCGCTCGGCGACGGAGGCGTCCGCAAGTGGGACTTTTCGCACTTTTCGTCGTCACAGCGCGCGAGCGCCGGCGCCCGCGTCCGGCGAGACAACCGCTCGCCGCCGACCCAGCAGCTGCTGTCTGCTGTTCTGCCTCAGCGGCAGTGCTCGTTTTAGGCGCGACCAGCCCCTCGCCACGAACCAGCAGCTGCTCTCCGCCACCCTCACGCCAGCGGGCTGGTCGTCGCTTGCTCGGTGGTGCCGCGAGCGGCTCGAGGGGACCCGAGAGGACCCGAGCTTGAGTACCCGAGAGTAATAAGTAGGTGGTGCCGCGAGCGGCTCGAGGCGCTCGAGGCAGCTGCGGACTCGAGCGGCTTCAAGCCCTCCGCGTGCAAGAAGGACGAGCGCCTCTCGCCGCTCCCGGTAAACCTTCAGCTCAACCTGCTCGAGGTGCGGCCAGCGAGAGGCGGGCTCCCGACCAACTACCGGACGGAGTGAGTGATTGTGCGTAATGATTGAACCGGTAGGTGCGGCCAGCGAGCTGGACTCCAGATTGCGACCCGGTCCGAGCTACGGCCGAGAGAAGGGGCGAGAGAAGGGGCGAGAGAAGGAGCGAGAGAGTGGGCGAGAGAGTGGGCGAGAGAAGCGGCGAGAGAAGCGGCGAGAGAGTGGGCGAGAGAGTGGGCGAGAGAGTGGGCGAGAGAACGGCCTTGCCATACGCCCGAGAGCACACAGCCGAGGCATGTCCGTGAGCCTGCCATGAGCCGTCCTCCAGGTGCGCGAGGACGACTGGCCGCCGCTCGGGCTGCACCGGCTCGCGCAAGGGCGAGGCGGAGGGGGAGGGGGCGAGGCAGGGGGCGGGGCAGGGGGCGGAGGGGGCGAGCGCGGCGGAGGGGGCGGGCAGGAGAGAGGAGGAGGGCAGGGCGGAGGGGTCGAGGCAGGAGGCGGAGGCGGGGGCGGGGACTTTGGAGGCGGCGGGGGCGGTGCGGGCGGCGAGGGTGGAGAGGCCGCGGGGGCGGTGTGGGCGGCCGCAGCCTCCGCGTGCCGCGCGGGCTGTCCGTCCGAGGTGGGCTGCACGTGGCTGCGGAGTAGTGGTGAGCTCATCGCTACTCAGGCTGGTGAGCTGTGACTCAGGCGGGCTGCGCGTGGCTGCTGCGAGACTCGAGCTCGGTCTGTGGGGGCGAAGCCAGCCGCAGTAGGCTTATGACTGAGTGACTGTGAATGAAATCATTAGGTCTTTGGGGACGAAGACAGCCCGGCCTGCTCGCCGGTGCAGCCGGGGGGAGGGGCCACGGTGTCGCCGGTGCTGGAGAGGAGGGGGGTGGAGGCGGCGGCGGAGAGGGAGGCGGCGGAGGAGGCGGCGGCGGAGGCGGTGGCGGAGGAGGCAGCAGCGGCAGGCGCGCTGCTGCCAGAGGCGGCGACGGAAGCGGCGGCAGCGACGGAGGAGGAGGAGGCGGAGGAGGAGGCGGAGGCGGAGGAGGAGGCGGAGGAGGAGGCGGAGGCGGAGGAGGAGGCGGAGGAGGAGGCGGAGGCGGAGGAGGCGTACACTCCTCCCGGTGGCTGCTCCCCGTCCACACCGCTCCGCTCCGGCGCGTGCGTCTGCTCGGACGGCGAGGAGGAGGGGGCGGGCGGCGGAGGGGCGGAGGGCGGAGGGGCGGAGGGCGGGATCGGGCTGGGCAGGGCGCCGTGGAGGACCTTGCGCGCCCTGCCTCCCGAGCTCGAGCAGGCGCGAGGGCGACGATCCTCCCACACTCCACCACCACGACCACCACCACCACCTGCCCCACGACCCTCGCCCCCCCCACCCCCCTTCCCCTCCAGGAGCTTGCCGCCCTCGGAGGAGACAGCGAGCCCGCAGCCGTGCAGAGCGAGAGCCTCGAGCCTCGAGACCTCGAGAGACTCGAGCCTCGAGACCTCGAGAGCCTCGAGCCTCGACGCGCCGCCGCCGCGGCTGGAAGCAGGGGCGGCGGCGCTGGCAGCAGCGATAGAGGCGGCGGGAGAGGCGGCGGTGGCGGCGGCGACGGCGACGGCGGCGGCGGCGGCGGCGGTGGCGGCGTCGGTGGCGGCGGCGGGGCAGCAGCTTGCGGCATGTGTGCCGGCGGCAGCAGTGGGGGGGGCGGCGGTGGGGGCGGCGGTGGAGGGGGCGGTGGAGGGGGCGCAGGCGCTGGCGCGAGAGGCCGCGCCAGGGGAGGCGGCGGTGGTGAGGACGATCTCATGCCTGGGAGGTGGGCCCGGGCGGGCGGCGGCGGCGGAGGAGGAGGTGGCGGCGGCGGCGGCGGTGGCGGCGGCGGTGGCTGCGGTGGCGGCAGCGGCGGCAGCAACGGCGTGGGTAGCGGAGGCGCGGGCAGACGGGGCGAGGCGAGGCGGGGCGGGGTGAGGCGAGGCGAGGCGGGGCGGGGCGAGCGTGCGGGTGCGGCGCAGGGCGGCGCGTGCGCCGACGACGGCAGGAGGCCACTTGCGTCTGGTCCGGCCGGGAGCAGCGGCCTCTCCTCACAGGAGCTGTGCGGCGCCGCCCTCGCCTCCGTCGCCTCCGCCGTCTCGCCCTCGCGCAGCGGCGCGGCCGCGTCGCCGCAGGGCTCGCCAGCAGCGGCGTCGGCGAGCCCGCCTCTCCCCGCCAGCCGGCGAGGCACGTCCAGGACACGTCCATGACATGTCCATGTCCGGGACACGTCCTTAGGCGAGCCCGCCTCTCCCCGCCAGCCGGCGAGGCCCACTTGCAGAGGCGGCCGCCTCCGCCGCCGCCAGCTCGCGCTGCGCTCACGCGGCCTCTGACCCCGGCGCCGTGTACCCGACGCTGACGCTTGGTGCTCCAGCGGCGCACGCGCTTGGCTTCAAGGACGGCGGCGCTACGGCGATGGCCCGCAAGCTTCGCGCGTGCATCGCGTCTCGAGAGCCCGCCGAGCGGATGGCGGCAATCTCGCTCGCGCAAGGCTACGGCCGCCGCTGCGCGCTGCTCATGTGCCACGGCTTCGCCGCCCTCGCCGCTTCCTTCGCCCTCGTGTGCCGCACCAACGCCGAGCGCCGCTCCGCACCATTCTTCGGCCGGCTGCGCGAGCTGGGGTACCTCTGCAGCTCGAGACGCTGCCAGCCAACTAGTGACCAGCAGTGTTCACTGATGCACAACTAATTGGTAGGTACCTCTTCCAGCTGGAGACACTGCTCTCGACGCGCGGCGACGAGTGGGCGATGCTGCAGGACACGCAGGGCGTCGTGCAGATGATCGAGCGCGTGCAGCTGATGATGCTTCCAGCCAACGAGGACGCGCCTGACGGAGTGGCGCTGCGGGGAGGCGCACACATGCCGGTCCTCTGCTTACAATGCTGGTGAGGATGGAAGACAGTCCCACGGATGAGCATCAGGCGCACACATGCCGGTCCTCTGCTTCGCTCCGCGCGAGCTCGGCTTCCGAGACGCGGCGCGCGCCTCTGCCGCCGGCCTCAAGCCGGGCGTCATGCTGCGCGTGCGTCCGGTCCTCCTCTCGCAGGGGATCAACGAGGAGCAGTCGGTCGCGAACCTGATGCAGACCCACACCGCCGAGCAGACGGCGCTCAACGAGAGGGCGCTCGCCCAGCTGAACGAGTTCCAGGCGTGACAGAGAAGAGTGTGGAAGAAGAAGATGCCATCACTACACTCTGATTTACATGACGACGTTCCAGGCGGCGGCGGAGGCGCTCGCGCGCGCGCGTGGCGAGGCTTGCTTCCCGCCCGAGCTCGAGCAGGGCTCATCAGAAACGGTGGTTCGTGGTTCGTTCTGTAGGCGAGGCTTGCTTCCCGCCCGAGCTGCTCCGCCAGCAGCGCGAGCTCCTCGTCCGCGCGCGCCAGCTCCTCTCCTCGCCTCCCGACCCGAAGAACGTCGGCTTGCTGCACGCCACCGCCGCGCTGACCCGGCTGCTCGACGGAGGGAGGGCGACGTTGTGCAAGAGCGGCAAGGACCGGACAGCGATGTCCATCACGCTCGAGCACACGCTGCTGCTGCAGCGAGCCCACGGCCTCTCGGAGCACCTCGCCTCGGCCGCCCTCACCGCCATGCGCCGCCACGGCGTGCGGCGCGAAAATGTGCGCCAAAACACGAACAAGCGCGTGGCTCTCGCCCCGCCCTTCCCTCTCTCGTTTGTGATTTGCGTCTCTTGACGGCGCGGTCGCTGCGAGCAGGCGCGTCTTCGCCTTCAACTGGATGCAGCAGCGGATGCTCCCCGAGGCCTACCGCCCGCCCGACGGCTCCGCAAAGTCGGGCGCGGCCTAGGTCCCGGGCGCGGCGGAGGGCGCGGCGAAGGGGCGCAGGGAGTTCGCGGCGGAGGGGCGCAGGGAGTGCGCGGCTCCCGCCTCGGCCCCAGCCATTCCTCAACGCAACCGGGACCCCGCTAGCCTGACGCAAGGCTAGCGGGCCCATCAATCCAGTAAAGAGCACGTCAACCTCACACACGCGCCGTACACGAGATCGAGAGAGGGTTATGCAGTGTCCCGCGAGAGATCACACAGCGGACCGCCTCTCCGCACTCCGGCGCAGGCGCAGGCGATGAGACTCTCCTTAGTTTTGATCAGTGCCCCTCAGTCGTGCTTCATCTGTTTTGTACAACGAGCAAGAATAGCAACAGTAATGAGTTCCAACATGCAAATGCAGCTCTTAAACGTGACAAACATATGTGATCGGAGGGGAATAAAAAATTATTGGGCGCGGCACACGTTTGTGTAATCCGCTACGTAGATATGCAACGATCGCGCTCTCAGAGCCGTACCCGGGCGGCGGTGCACTGCTGGTACGTGAAGCAGCACTCGTCCTGGCACTCGTCGAAGCAGTCCGAGCGATCCTTGCTCGCATCCTTCTGGCAGCGCGGCACGCAGTCGTTGAGACACGACAGGTACTTTGGGTCCTTCTTGGTACCGTCGAGCTTGTCCTTGGACGTGGGCCGCAGCGGATCGCTCTTGCCCGAGAGCCAGAGCTTGGGCGCGCCGTCGCTGCCCGCGATCGCCGCGGGCGTCGCTGCGCCGGCGAGGGCGGCGGCCGCAAATGCAGGTAACGCCGCTCGCCGCGACAGCCGCGGGCCGCTCGGCCTACAGGCGTGCACGCACGCTGTGCAGAGGGAAGATTGGAGGCGACCTGGGTGAACGGCGTCGACACCTCGTCGGCGGCGACAGGGCGGCGAGAGTGATGCTCGCGACAGCCAACATAGAAATCGGAAAAGAGAAAAACAGGGCGTAGACCAGAATACAACAACAAGAAACACAAGAAGAGAAATAATCCCAGCGCTGAGAGCCCGCGCCCCTCGATGGCCTCCCACCGCATCGGCGCCCGCCTCTCGGGCCTCTCGCCAGAGCAGCTCGTCGCCTTCATCGACGAGCAGGCGCCTCTCTGGAGCGCCGCCGCAGTGCGCGTGGCGGAGGAGCACGCCGCTCGGCTCGTGGAGCAGCCCGAGTGGGTGCTCTCCGAGGTCCTCCTCTCGCCGGACCTCGCCCCGCACATCCTCGCCCAGCTGCCGACCACGGAGCACGCCGTCAAGGGGACGTGCCGCGCGTGGCGCCGCGGCTGGAAGGAGACGCTGAAGAAGCGCGGGAGGCCGCGCCTGCTCGTGATCGGCAGCTACGGCAGCAACGAATTTGTCAACTCGCTGGAGCGGTACGACCCGTCCACAAACGCGTGGGAGGAGGAGGCAGTGGCGCCGATGCCGACGGCACGACTGTATGTCGGCGCGGCGAAGCTCGATGGCAAGCTCTATGCGGCGGGCGGCAGGAATGGGGCTGACGCCGCAACTTCCAACCTGGTGGAGCGGTACGACTTTGCTACGAATGTGTGGGAGGCGGTGGCGCCGATGGCGACAGCACGGTATCTTCACGCCACGGCGGTGCTCGAGGGCAAACTGTACGCCGTGGGAGGCGACAGCGACGACGACGGCTGGCTCAGCTCAGTCGAGCGGTACGATCCGGCGGTGGGTGCGTGGGAGGCGGTGGCGCCGATGGCGGCGGCGCGGAGCGACCATGGCGTGGCGGTGCTGGACGGCAAGCTGTACGCTGTGGGCGGATTCGATGGTGGCCGCCTCAGCTCGGTCGAGCGGTACGATCCGACAGCGAACGCATGGGAGGCGGTGGCGCCGATGGCGGAGGAGCGGGACGAGCTCGCAGTTGCGGTGCTCGACGGCAAGCTGTACGCTGTGGGAGGCTTCAGCACCGGCGATGGCTGGCTCAGCTCGGTCGAGCGGTACGATCCGGCGCTGGATGTGTGGGAGGCGGTGGCGTCGATGGCGGCGGCTCGGAGTCGTCACGCCGTGACGGTGCTCGACGGCAAGCTGTACGCTGTGGGCGGGTTCATCGATGAGAACGAGGGGTCGTATATCGGCCGCCTCGTGGAGCGTTACGACCCGGCGTTGGAGGTTTGGGAGGCGGTGGTGCCGATGGGGACGGCACGGGCCTCTCCGGGCGTCGCCTCGCTGTAGCCGACGGGGCATGGAGTGCAAGGTCAGGGCAGAGCGAGTGCGCGAAAGAACAAGGCTGCCGAAATTCTTCTTATTCAAATGCCCATGTAATACACACACATGCCACATGCCACAGCTGGACGAGCAGCAGCAGCAGCAGCAGCAGCAGCAGCAGCAGCAGCAGCAGCAGCGCTCGCCGCTCGGCGTGTGCAACGCGGCCTCCGCCGCGCCGCAGTCAAGCGGTAAGTCGCGCCGTCGCCATTCGGTCTCCGCGCCTGCTTCAAAGCCGCTCGACCTCTCTCGCCTCGAGGCTGCGCTCTCGCAGTCGGTCGACGGCAGCCTGTCCGTCGCCACGCTGGCCGCCGCCACCGCCACCGGACGGCACGAGCTGCTGGCGCTCGTGCAGAACCACCCCGCGCGCCTCTCGGTTGGGCCCTCGGTGGGCGGAGACCTCTCGATCCGGCTCCGCGGCTGCGGCGTCGTTCCGGCGGCGCTGCGCCAGCCACTCGCCGCGCGAGTCCCGCTCGGCGGGGAGGGCGACCAGGCTACGCGCGAGGGCGACGAGGCGCTGATCCGCAAGGCTGCCAAGGTGCTCAAGAACCCTCGCGTCGCCGGCACCGCCGTCGAGGAGCGGCTTGGATTCCTCCGCTCCAAGGGGCTCTCCGAGGCGCAGATCGCGGCCGCACTCGAGCGGGCCGGCCTGGCCGAGCCGCGGCAGCAGCCCCACCCGCCTCGGCTCGGCGGGGGAGCCTCCTGCGCCGCGAAGCGACCCACCTCTGGAGCGGCCGAGGCGGCGGCCGAGGCTGCAGCAGAGCTCTGCAGAGGCATCTCCGGGCTGCCCGTCGGCGACGAGGGCCTAGCGCCGGAGGGGGCGAGGGCGGTGGGCGCGGCTGCGGCCGCTGCCGCCAGTGAGAGCGAGGCGACACGGGCGGCAGCCGAAGAGGAGACGGCCGAGCAGGCCGCCGAGCAGGCGGCCGCGGACATGGCGTTGGCGCGGTCGGTAAAGGAGCCCGCGTCGCCTCGGCCTCGGCAGCCCGCCCCGCCCCCGCCTCCCGAGAAGCGGCCGTCGGAGGAGGCGGTCGACGCCGCCCTCGCCGCCGCCGCCGCGGCCGCCGCGCTTGCCGCCTCCCTCCCCTCCGCCGTCCCTTCTTCTCCCGCCGCTCCTCCCGCCGCCGCCCCTCCCCCCGCCGGCCCCCTCTCACCGCTCGCTCTCACCGCCGCCCTCGCCACCACCCTCGCGGAGCGCGCCCCGGCCAGCGCTGCCGCCGCCCTCGCCACCCCCGCCGCCACCCCGGCCGCCACCGCCGCCGCGTCGCCGTCGCCTCCCCCCTCCGCCACCGTCGACCATGCCGACCTGCCCACGACTCCGGCGCCGGTGCACACCGCGGCGGGCTACGAGGCCCTCAACACCGCGGGCGGCGAGGCGCCGCCGCCAGACCTGCCCTCTCGCAGCCCTCACTCTTCGAGCCCTCAGCGCGCTGCCCTGCCGGAGCGCACGCCGCGGCAAGGCGAGACCGAACCCGCCCCATCCCCCGCCTCCGCCGCCTCCGCCGCCTCCGCCGTCTCCCGGTCGCCGCCGTCGCTCACGCCCGACTGGCTCAGGCGAGCGGAGCATCTGCTTCAGGAGCCTCTCCCCGCCGCCGCCGCCGCCGCCTCTTCTGCCGCCTTCTCCTCCGCCCGTGCTGCCCCGCCGAGCGTGTTCTCCTCACCCGCCGCCGCCGACCCCAACCGCGCCGCCCCCGCCGCCCCCGCCCCCGCCGCCGCCCCCGCCCCAGCCGCCCCCGCCGCCCCAGCCGCCCCACCCGGGGGACGAGGCCGCGACGCCTCCCGGCCGCTAGCTTCGGTCGCGCCGCTTGTGGTGGCCGCCTTGGCGGCGGCCGCCCTTGCCGGCTGGCTCGTTTCCCCGCCTCCGCCGCCGCCGCTCTCCTTGGCCGTAGCGAACGCCGGCTCGGGGCCTCCGGAGGCGTTCCTCTTTGGCCCACTCCCTGTCCCTCAGCCGAGTGGCGGCGCTGTGGTGGAGGCGGACGACGCTGTCGAGGCGGCAGAGGACGGCGCGGCCGAGGCGGGGCCGGCCCCCGCCGTCGCCCTGGGCCCGGGGCGGTACGCGGACGCGTGGCTGTGCTACGACGCGGCGACGTCGCGGAGGAACGCGACGCGCGGCGCCGGCAGCGACGGCGGGCCAAGCCACGGACCCGGAGACGGGCCGCTGCTCTCTGCTCTCCGCGCCGTCTCCACCGCCTTCTTCACGGCCTCGGCCCTCTCGGCCCTCCTCCCTCTGCTGGGCTCTCTGCTTGCCGGCGCCGCCGCTGCGAGCGGCCGGCGCCCCGACGCGGACGGCGGAACGGCGAAAGGCGGCGGGGCGAAAGGCGGCGGGGCGAAAGGCGGCGGGGCGGGTGGATTGCGGCGCGCGCGCCCGCAGCCGGCGGCCGGCGGTCTGCGCCGCTCGCCCCGTCGCCGCATGGGCGGGCAGGCGAAGGCGTAGGCAGGTGTCGCCCATACACTGGTGCTGGCCCACAGGCCTCGCCACGGACCGCTGGACGCCCGAAGGTCCCTCGAGCCTCTGTTGGTCTATTGCACGTGAGCAAACGCGGCGACTACGGACTAGCGACATGACGTTTGACGGCCTGCGTATACAGACCTCGCGTGTCTCTGCAGTCCTGGGCGCAGATATGTGGGTGCGTGTTGGAGCATGATGCTCCATGCACAGGCACTGATCGGATGAAACTCCGAGTTTGAAACTGTAGTCGAGTACTAAGGGCGATTTTTCTCTCTTTTAGACATTAGGTCACACTCATTAGACATAGAGGCTTATATGTGATGGCTATCTTATTCCGGGGCTGGTGTGCGGGGAGCGAACCTTAACGACCGCCCAGAAGCTTTCTGAGCGAACCAATCGGGCCAGGATCATCAGCATATGTCCCCTGCACAACATCGTGGGCGTTTGAGCGGTATTTGAGGAGCACCGCCACTCTGAAGTTCGGCCGGGTGGTCTGCAGACCCCCCCCGAAGCAGCAGAGGCTCCGTGGGGTCGAAAAGTCGACGCTGGGAGTCGCACTCGTCAAGCCATCGCAGCACCACGCGGTCCGCACGTACCGCCCACATCCCCTCCACCGCTGAGAAGGCGCAGATCGACCGCCGGGCCGCGTAGTCGTCGTTAAGGAGCGGTTTTTGGAGCCGTACGAAGAGGTCCCAGACGGGCGAACATGCGGTTTTTCGATGACCACGCGCGATGTGGTATCTGCTTTTTGCTAAAAACGGGCCGCCTAGTGCAGCATCACTAGTACAACACGCAACCACACTGAGAGCTCCACACTAGCCGGCATAGGCGAGAACCGACGGCGTCACGGTCGCCGGAGTGGACGCACTGGCGCACTGCACACACACTGTGACCGTGTCGACGGTGTGACACTGAGCGACACAATCGTCGGCGCCGCGCTATCGCGGCGCCCCACAGTCTACACGCCTCAGGCGCACCCGTGAACGCGCCATGGGCGCGCAGATACACCGCAGCGCCGTGGAGAATCCACACCTGGCCGGTCCCAAGCCCCCGTCCTGGGCCTCCAGGCGGCCGAAGATCGGCGTTCGGGCGGGATGAACTTGTCGGAAATGGAGCAAACTTGGCGCGGCTCGCCGCTCGCGGTACCTGGTGAGCCGGGACGGGCTCACCGGGGGAAGGCCCGTCGCAGTGGCAGCCGGATCGCCGCGATCTTCGACAGGGAGGGCCACGCCTCCCCCGAGCCTGAAGAGGAGCCGGCGGAGGGGGGGGGGGGCGAGCCAAGGACGATAGAGAGACCGCGGGTGCGGGCGCGACTCGTCGATCAGGGAGAGCGGGCTCGACCTCCCGGAGGTGGAAGTGGGTGTGACCTAATGCCACCGTCCTCGACCGGGGAGACCCCGGCCGGGCCGTCGACGCTCTCGGAGGCTGCGGTACCAGCCGAAGAAGCGGAGTCGAGGCCACAGCCGAGGAAGAGGCATCAGAAACGACTGCAGAGGCAGTCTGGTAACGCCCGGAAGGCGAGCAAGGGACCGGGACGAGCCGAGGGCTCGCCCCGACAGGCGAAGGAAGGGACTCTGGGACCGGAGTCGGGCGGGCGCACATGAGGCGTATCCGTGTACGTACGTGGAGTACAGTGTTGTGTGTCCGTTAGCTCCGAGTAGAGGGGGCGTTCTGCAGTTAAGGGGAAACCCGGTACACGGAACTAACCCTCGGAGACCCGTGTTTACTTTACGGCCCTTTCCCTGCGAACGCGCACCCCCAGGGCTAGGGCTCTCTAGCCCGTAACCCGACACCGATCATCCGGTCCGCTGGGTGCGCTTCTCAGCTCCCCGGCCCTGGATGTGAGGTTAATGACTGCACTCCAAGTGCTCCAAGTGCTCCAAGTGCTCCTTTTCCTCCTTCTCCCCACCGCCACCGCCACCGCATTGACGTAAAAAATCTTTTTTAGCGTCGTTACCCCATGTCGACGTACCCATGGCCGTCACCTCGCCCGAGGTGTACCTCGCCTCCGCGCCCTCGCCCCACTCACTGCTGGTAGAAGTCGTCCCAGAGGTGCTCGATTATGGCAGGCGAGACGAGGAAGACGGAGGCGAGGGAAGAGGCAGCGCCGCAGTCGACGGAGGCAACAACGATGGAGATGGAAAGAGAGCGGCGACATGCGCAGAGGATGTGAGGATATAAACTGGGACGACGCAGCGGAGGGGATAGGCGAGGGAATCGAGGGGCCGGAGGGCTTTCGCGACAGACATTTTGGCCCATGCGAGTGCTCTCCCTCTTGCTCGCCCTCCCGTCGGCGGCCGGATTGGTTGGGCCGGAGCTGCTGAATCGACTCGGGCCGGCACGAGGGGTGGTGCCTGCGCGCTCACGTCGTGGTGCTCGCGGAGGCGCGCTGGGCAGCTCCAACTATTGGCGAGTCTCAACAGCAGCTTCATGCAGTGCAGCGTAACGCCAGCTGCCGCCAGTGGCCAAGTCAGTCTGGCTGGCGAGAAGCGCCAGTGCCTTCCCTTCAATCTGGGCGAGGCCCAGCTGTGCGCAATACTATCGCTGCGCCGGTGGGCGCCCTCGATGCGGACTGCCGGGAGGAGTCCGGAAGATGATCGTCGACGACGACACGCCACTAGCAATCCCGTCGATAGGGTCGATTCCGCATGGCACGGGACCCCTCGATCGTCTCGCCCTCCCTCACTGGTGTGTTCATGGGGGGGGGGGGGGGCATAACAAACACGGTACAGGATCGAGGTGCACGCTGCAGAAGCAGTGTCGTCCCCCCTCTCCATCGTCTCACTCTGTGAGACGTCGGCGGTGATGGCGGTGTGACCGATCGAGCTACAAGAGGAGCTTGTTCAGCAGGATCCGGGGTGGGCCGAGCAGTTCTCACTTCCTCAATGGGTGAGCTTCAGACCTCAGGCCAGGCAGCGCCACCACGCCCTGGGGTGTCGACGGGCCCCCGGGGGCGACGGGGGTGCTCTCCGGCCGCGGCGGCCGAAAACGGGGGTCTATGTTGCGGTATGTTAACGAAGTGATCCACTTGATCCAAGGGTGCCATTGTGCTCTACTACAAAAGTTGTGTAAGATGCCCAAGTCTCAGACGCTGGATCCTTAGCGGAGCTGAGTTCTGACGGTGTGAAAAAGGGACCTCTCATTCGCTCGTCCGCACCCGTCACAGCTCACGGAGTGCTCCGCGTGCCGCACCGGCCGCCGCCGGGCGGCCGCCGGCCGCTCACGGTTCTAGGGTACGATACTTCCGGGCCGGTGTGCGGGGAGCGAACCTTAACGACCGCCCAGAAGCTTTCTGAGCGAACCAATCGGGCCAGGATCATCAGCATATGTCCCCTCCACAACATCGTGGGCGTTTGAGCGGTATTTGAGGAGCACCGCCACTCTGAAGTTCGGCCGGGTGGTCTGCAGACCCCCCCCCCCGGAGCAGCAGAGGCTCCGTGGGGTCGAAAAGTCGACGCTGGGAGTCGCACTCGTCAAACCGTCGCAACAACCACGCGGTACGCACATACCGCCCACATCCCCTCCACCGCTGAGAAGGCGCAGATCGACCGCCGGGCCGCGTAGCCGTCGTTAAGGAGCGGTTTTTGGAGCCGTACGAAGAGGTCCCAGACGGGCGAAGATGCGGTTTTTCGACGACCACACGCGATGTGGTATCTGGTTTTTGCTAAAAACGGGCCGCCTAGTGCAGCATCACTAGTACAACACGCAACCACACTGAAAGCTCCACACTAGCCGGTATAGGCGAGCACCGTCGGCCTCACCGTCGCCGCTCGCGGCGGAGCGGACGGGGGAGCCAGGGGTCGGTGCGTCGTGTGGGGGGGTCAGTGAGTGTGTCAGTGTGTCTGTGAGGTGAGGGAAGGTACATGTACATGCACCTGTCGCGGTGTGTGTGTCTGAGGGGGGGGGGTCACGTCACTGCATCCTCTGCCGGTTCCTCCCGTCGCCTCTTCTTTGTTCGAATGATTTTCAATCCATCCTTCACGAAGCCCTCCCATGTAGCTAGCGTTCTTTGCGAATGTCTCGAGATGGCCAGCAGGCGCTGTCTGCTCGCGGCCTGTGCGGGCCGCTCGTCCTCCTCGGTCCTCGCCCTTCTTTCGTCCTCCCGTCCCTCCCCTCCACCATGGCCTCCTCGGCACTTCTTTCTCCATCCGCCTCGCCCTGCCTTTTCGTGACCTCCATGGCTGTCCGCCTCCTTTTGGGTGGCGCTCTCCACTCGATACCGTTGCGTCAACCTCGACGTCGCGGAGTCCGCGCTGTCGCGCCCTCCCCGTCCCCGCCGTCGCCCGTGCCTCGGTGCGTGGAGCACTATAGAAGGACCCTAAGGGCTGATGTAAACCAAGTGCTGGTAGCGTGCTTTCACGGCACACCCACGGTCTCACAGTGTGCCGGCAGTCCTTGAGCAGTATCGCTCACACAAGCCGCAGCACAAGTGACTGAGGGCCAGTGAGGGCGATTTCCATCAAGCGTTAGGCAGCGGCCAGCGTGCCGCCTCCGTCTCGCCCGCACGCCTCTGGCAACACCGCCGCGTAACGCAGGAAGGCGACCGAAAAGGGCGGCGCCGAGAAGGCGCCGGCCGGCGCGGGCAGCGTCACGGGCGGCAGCTCCGGCACCTCCCCGCCCACAGAGGAAAGAGGCTGGCCGTTCAGTCGGACCTGCTCACACCAAAAGCCGGTGTGAAGAGCGGCGTGCCCGCAGAGCCGGGTCGGTCGGCCGCTCGTAGCCCCGCGCCGACTCGTCCAGGAGGCCTCCTCCGCCGCCAGCCTCGAGGACCCACGCCTCCGCGCCGCCGGCGAGCGGCGCGCCGTGCTGCCCCAGCTGGAGGGCGGTCGCGATGGCCTCGCCGCCAGCGTTGGCGACGCCGACGACAAGGCGGCCGGACGGGTCGCACGCGGCGAAGGAGCGCAGCGCGTGGTGCCTGTCCACACCGCCGCGCGGCCGTGAGGAGACGCCGGCTCACACGCGGGCGGCGGAGGGGTGAGGGCTTGCGCTGTGCGTGTCGGTTTCAATCACGGGCGGGCGGGCCGCGCGCAACACCCGCGCCCCAACCCCGGTGCCGCCCCCCTCGACGACGCGCCGCCAGAGGAGCGCCTGTTCACGGCTCCAGCTGTGAAGAGACGCTCACGTCCGCCCTCACGCGCCGCCTCAGCCGCGCCACGAAGTAGTCGCTGTGGGCGATGTACCCGCGGTTCGAGTCCACCTATCCAGGTGAGGAGATCACGGGAGATGTGGGGAGATGTGGGGGAGATGTACCCGCGGTTCGAGTCCACCTATTTCACCGGGCCGGCGGAGACGCGAGGGACTAGCCTGGCCCTTGCCCCACCACTTTGTGTGTGTGGAGACGTTTACCCTACCTTACCTCACCTCAATGCACATCACGAAGTCTTCCAAATGTCTATAGGGAGTGCCTAGGGAGCGTCTAGGGAGTGTCTAGGCACCAGCGAGTAGTTGCCGCCGGCGAGGGTCTAGGAAGTGTCTAGGGAGTGTCTAGGGAGTGTCTAGGAAGTGTCCAGGCACCAGCGAGTAGTTGCCGCCGGCAAGGGTCTGGCGCGCCACGGCAAGGTGGCCGCCGCCCGGCGTCGAGGCCGCGTGCGCGAGGTGGTCGAAGTACCTATTAATTATCAGTTAACAGATTACACGGTTAAGTCATTATTCGATTCGCAAGGTGGTCGAAGTACCTATTAATCAATCAACTAATTAACTGGCGACAGAATTAAATGATTCATTAACTCGCAAGATGGTCGAAGTGCCTGTTCCTCACGCCTCTGGCTGTGCAGAGAGACGCCGTTCAAAGAAGCGCGCGAACGGAGGCCCGAGGCACCAGAGGCTGGACTCGAACGTTGTGCAGGCGCCGGTGGGGCCTCCCGAGGCCCACGCCGCCGCCGTCTCGGTGATCATCAGCGGCAGTGCGGCGGCGGCACCTCACGATTAGTCGCTCGAGTAAGTTAAACAGAGAGTGGACCTCTCCGAGATGTCAGCGGCGGGCGGCGGCGGGCGGCGGCGGCACCAGCTCCAGAGTAGCGCACGGCGCCGACGGCGGTGTCGACGAGGCCGCGCGCCTGTGCATGAGTGGTACTACTGCGTTAGGAGGAGTGCGTGGACAGCGAGGGAGACGGCGCTTCCGACCTCGGGTGACCTCGGGTGACCTCGGGTGATCTCGGGTGACCTCGGGTGATCTCGGGTGATCTCGGGTGACCTCGGGTGATCTCGGGTGATCTCGGGTGATCTCGGGTGACCTCGGGTGATCTCGGGTGATCTCGGGTGACCTCGGGTGATCTCGGGTGACCTCGGGTGATCTAGGGCGATCTCGGGTGATCTCGGCTGATCTCGGCTGATCTCGGCTGATTTGGGCCGCGCGCCTCGTCGAGGAAGGCGACGGACGGCACCTGCGAGGCGATGCGCAGTTAATTAATCATTTAACTAATCATTAATTAATTAATTAAGGCGACGGTCGGCACCTGTGAGGCGATGCGCGGCGCCTTGCCGTAGCCTTCGTACATGTGGTACGTAAAGACGTCGAGAGGTAGCGGCGCCGGCAGCGCGAGCACAAAGTCGACGATCCAGTCTGGCTGTATGTGCACCGACGGCCCCACCAGCAACGGCCGTTGTCCCTCGTCCGGCCAACGGCTTGCGAGCAGCGCGCCCACCGCTGCGACGCGCGCCGCCGCCTCGGCTGGGTGCAAGATGTTCTGGTTCTCGTTGCCTGTCCACAGCGGGGCTGGTGTGGAGAGTCGCTGTCCACGGCCGGCGCCACGCCGCCCTGCCTCGTCATTCTGCCGAGCTCAAAGGCAAACGGGCGAAGGCGTGGCGGCTGCTGCGCCGTGTAAGAGAAGAGGGCGTCGATCTGCGATAGAGCGGCGGGCCAGTCGTCGGCCGTCCCCGGCCCGATCAGGTTCAAGTCGAGCATCAGTCGCACGCCTGAGGACCCAAGCACGGCATACCCTCATCCGACGGAGACGTCGTGCCGAGTCGGCAGCGCCGGGCATCCTCCGCGACCCGTGCGTGCCGCAAAGGCGAGAATCGCGGCCCAGCGCGGCCGCGTGAGGCAGTAGTAGTAGCCCGACGGGCACGGCGCATCGAAGCCCGGGAAGCCGACGTAGGTGACGTTCTCTCCTGCCTCAGAGCCGCCTAGCCGCAGAACGGCAGGCGCGAGAGCCGTCACGACCCCGAGCAGGCCGGGGCTCGCCAGGTCGATCTCGAGGATGGAGGCGTTGGCGCCCCACACGCTACCTTGCGAGCTGGGGTGGAAGTCCAGCGTGAAGGAAGCGAAGCCCGCGGGAAGACTGTTGACGATGTGGCGGTCCGAGATCTGAAAGCGCGGGCGGAAGAGCGGGCGTTGAGAGGCGCCCAGCCATTCTGTGACAGAGAGTGCGCACCTGGATGATGGCGGTTTGGTTTGTTGCAGTGGCGGCGGCTGCAGTGGCGGCAGCGACAGCAAACCAAGTGCCCAACATGCCGCCCGAAACGTGGGTTCTCGAGGTCTCGAGGTAATGTTGGGTTCTCCCTAGAGCCGTAGCGGCTGCCGGCCCTCGGCCGCATCGTCCATCGAGACCTGAGCGGCGTGTCCAACCGCAAGGGCAGCACGCCTCACATCCAACGTCTACGTCATCCGCTACACACGTGTGTTTTAGCCATTAGCCTCATACCGTATGCGTATCCACGAGATTCTATACCTACAAGCCTTGCCACGAACTACACGACTCACGTATATCGTATCATTCACCTACGGTCAGCCTACCTCGAACTACTTTCTGCACGAACTTCGCTTCCTATGACACTATGGAGCCGGGTGTGCAACGAGGCAGCAGCGGATCTGCTCGTCGGGCCGCGTCTCGCCCGCCTCATACAGCACCGCGACGAGCCCCTCCCCCACCCGCGCCACGCAGCTGTACGCCACCGGGCCGCGGTGCAAGACGCGCGCCCATAGGCCGGCCGAGGGCTCCGCCGCCCCGCCCCACGAGAGGCCGTCACGCGAGGCGCGCAGCAGCAGCGTGTGGCGCGTGAGCCCGCTCGGCGCTCCTAAGGGCCCGCAGTAGAGGGCGCCGCCGGGCACCTACGGGGAAGGCATCTCGGACGGTGCGCGGGGAGGGCCCCGGGAGAGGGGCGGAGGCCGCCCCGGCACCGCGAGCAGCGAGGCTTGACAGCCCGCGAAGCCCGGGTCGGGCAGGTCGCCTGCGCCGTTGGAGCCGCACGTCTTCTGCTATGGTTGCTTCGGCGTGTGGTGTGGAGTGTGGGGGTGCGACCTCGTGTGGCTCGAGGCTGCCTACCACTAGTCCGCCTGCGTGGCCGAGGTCGCGCCACGACTCGCCCTCGTCCTCCGACACCGCGACCCGCCGCCGGCCACGCCCCGACCAGTCTCGCATGCTGAGGAGGAGCCGCCCGCCGACGAGCGCCACCTGAGCCTCGTTGCACTCGGCCGGCCCTTCTCCTCCGAGGCGGAAGGAGTCGCCGCCGTCGTCGCTGATGACGACGTGGCTTCGCAGCTCGTAGCGAGTGCGCAGCCAGCCACGGGTAGGGCTCACGTGGTTGCACGGGAAGACCAGCCTCCCGCCCGGGAGCTGCACGCCCACGCCTGGCCCTGTGGCGTACCAGGTCCACCCGCTCGGTGAGGTCGGGCCCGCGCCTAGAGGTATGGCCGAGGAGACCGTCCGAGACAGGTCGAGAGATCTAGCCGTGAGAATGTGGAGCCGACGGAGGCACGCCTTTCGGGCGCACGTCGCCGCTGATCTCTCGCGGGCGACTCCACGCCGCGCCGTCGCAGCTTGTCGTCACGAAGACGCGCCTCGCCGCGGCGTGGCCGCACCAGATGGTCGCCTCACTCTCGTATGCTTCGCTCGCAGAGAGGAGCAGCACGACCCGACCCCGCACGGCGTCGTAGATGGCGCACGGGTTCCCAACCGTGCCGCCAGGTATGCCAACGCTGTCACCGTCGGCGACGAGCGCCACCGGCGACCACGTCTGGCCGCGGTCACCACTCCGGCGCACCACCACACGCACCGGTCCCCCGTCCTCGACGCCTCCAATCGTCCGCTCCTCGGCAAAGGACAGCAGCACCGGCGAGGCGGCTGGTGGCAGCGCCAGAAGCGAAGGAATGCGATATGCGCCCGCCCTCGCGATTTGCTCATTGGGAGGGAAGACTACCGTCGCAGGCGGAGGGACGGGTTCCGCGGCCAGGTTGGGCTCCGGCACCGAGCGGCGGCGGAAACACTGCTTCACCAACAGCTCCACGAGCAAGAGGAAGAAGGCAACGCCACCCGGTAAGGCGAGGTTGCGGAGGTGGTGGCCGATCACCTTCCAATAGTAGAGGCCCGCCATCATTCAAGCAGTGCGGAATAGAGGCAGGCGACACGCGATCATTCGACGGCGCAGCTGAGAGCAGGTACGGAGAGCAGGTCCTTGTGTCGGATGTCGGTCGGAGTTTTTCTGTTTTTTTTTTTGAGCTTAGCCTTCGATAGACTGCTCTATAGCCTCGCATGTCACTTCCTGTTGTCTGTTGTTTGTTGTGCCCTTGTTTGTTCTTCTGGTGCCTTGGAGTGCTGGGGGGGGCGACAGGGAGGATGTGGCCCTGAGTTATGTGTACGCCTACTCAGGGTGTGTGGCAGCCAGCTGGCTGTGTGTCTTGTGAGCCTGTTTGTGTCTGTGTGTCGCTCGTGCGTGTCGTCATCATCTGTCTAGCGTCCACCCATACCGCGTTGGTGTCCAGTCCGAGCCTGGCTGTTCTTCACCTTTCTACCCTACCTACTTCGATGTTATGAAACAAACGCAAGGCGGACATGGCATATCGCTCTCGGGCCCACAGACATCCCGCACACTCGCCGCACACCCGCCGCCCCCGCGCGCGCCCCACCTCGGCCGGGAGAAAGGGGAGTGACAGTTTGGGACGGCAACCAACAGCCCGAGTATGTTGAGTCCTGGCTCAACAACGCAGATAACAAGAGGGGGTGGTCCGGCTCCCAAGTCCGGCTCACGCGCCTCGAGCTGACCGATCTACCGCACTGGTCACTTCCGCCCCCTCGCTCCCAACCCATCCACCCCGCCCCGGGCCGCGCCGCGCGATCTCGGGCCGCGCGATCTCGGGCGATCTCGGGCCGCGCCGCGTGACCTCGGGCGATCTCGCACAATCTCGCGCAATCCCGCCGACGGCCGCAAGTTGCATTGGTTGCGCTGACGGGAAGTAATGAACGTCGACGCGGCTCTAACATGGGTGGTCCGTGCGTTCCATTGTCCAGTCCGCCTGCAGCATCTGCTCGCGCAAAAGAATTTCTGGTAAAGAAAGAAAGAAAACAGACACGCCAAACGAGGGATGGGACGAGGACAGGGTGGTCCCCACCTGCACGAGCAGGATTTTGGAAGGACGATCAGGGGGACAGGTGGGGCTCTCCTGCTCCTGACAAGGGACACGACAGGCTCGCAGCGCGGTGCGCGGTGGAATTTCTGGTGCCGTGCGAGGGGTTTCGGTGTTTTTCTCTTTCTGCCTCGCTCTGCGCCCCGCGGGGGCATCCGCGTGCTCGGGGCGCACCTCGGTCTCGTGGGGAGAGTCGAGAGCGCGCTCAAGAAGCCGCTCTCGACGGCATCATCCTCATCAAGCTGTCACATGCGCTTTGACGCGACCTCCTGCACCCGCGAGGAGGCCTCGACCGGCCTGCTCGCCGCCGCGACCGCCGACGGCAGCTGGCTCTCTCGCCGCGAGTACGCCGGCGCTGCTCTGCCCGCTGCCCGTCCGAGGCGGTGCGCTGCCGCGGCGTTCGAGGCGCTGCTCTGCTCCCTGCCCACGGCGCGGCCGGCGGAGCGGGTGATGCCTCCCGACTGGGCGTTTGGCGCAGAGGCGCCCACCCTCGGCAAGGCGATGGCGCGCTGGGCGATGCACCTCTACCTCGGAGTGGCCGACTCGCCGATGCGGCGGTACGTGCTCGACGACGATGAGCTCGACGACTGGCGGTGGCTCCCCGACACGGGGTGCGCCGCCGAGCCTCGCCCTCGCCACGGCTGGCTGACCTACGACGTCTGCGAGGCTGCGGAGCGGCGGCTGAGAAAGCCGCAGGCTTGGTTGGGCGATGCGGTGACTGGGACAAAGGGCGGCGCGGCGCTGCTCGGCCAGCTGCAGGGCAACAGCAGCGGGCGCTGGCGGCAGCGGGGCGGGGCGGCATGGATGGCGACGGCGGGAGGAGGAGTCACGAGCGGCGGCGTCTGGGCGGCGGCGCAGGCTATATCTCGGCTACATCTCGGCCACATCTCGGCTACATCTCGGAGATCTCGTCTAGACCTCGTCTAGACCTCGTCTAGATCTCGTCTAGATCTCGGCTGCCTCTCGGCTGCACCTCGTCTGGGCGGCGGCGCAGGCGCTTCGCCTCGTGCGCTCCTCCCTCGGGCCTTGCGGGCGTGCGGCCGAGGCGGAGCTGTGGCGCAGGCGTCCCTCTCAGTGAGTCACTCGGTAGTCAGTTGGTACTCGGCTCTTGAGCCCAGGCGGAGCTGTGGCGCAGGCAGCCCTCGAGCCTCCTCCGCCAAGCGCTGCCGCGGGAGCAGAGGGCGGGCGGCAGGGGGGCGGGCCTGCTTGGCGTGGGAGTGCAGGCGCACCTGCCTCTGGCGCGAGATCGCCCGAGATGACCGCCGAGATCATCCCCGAGATGACCGCCGCCCCCCCGAGATCATCCCCGAGATCACACACCCCCACCACCCGAGAGGACCCGAGATCACGCCCGAGATCACACGAGCTCACACGAGCTCACACGAGCTCACACGCGCGAGCTCACCCGAGATCACACGAGATCACACGAGCTCACACGCCCGAGATCACACGAGCTCACGCGCGCGAGATCACACGAGATCACGCGCGCGAGGTCAGGTGCGGCGGGGTGACGCGTGCGAGCGGTGGGCGGCGGCAGGGGACGGGGACGACTTGCCTGCGGCCGGGGGGAGGCTGCGCCGCCCGTGCTGCGACCTCAGAGAGGGCAGCGGCTCGAGGCCCTCACTGCTTTGGAGTACACGAGTCAGGCCTTGCTACCGGGCAGCCGAGTACGTGTCCGCTGCGGCGGCCGTGCTTTCAAGGCTGCGGGCGAGGTTGCCTCCCTCCTCCCCCCTCGCGGGCCGCGAACCGGGGGCTGCTGCTCCCCCAGTGACTCGCCCGCGCGCTTAACACCCAGTTTTTTTGGTGGTTGGGTTTTGGCTGGTTTGGTGGTGTTGGGGGCCCTTGAAAATGGGTGGGTGGGTGGGGGGGGCATGGCGCGAGATTGCGCGAGATTGCGCGAGATGGCGAGAGAGGCCGCGAGGGTGCGCGAGATCGCGCGAGATCGCGCGAGATCGCCATGTGCGGGATGCGATGCGATGCGCTCCTCCGGTGCGAACTAATTGACGACAATGAGTGATTAACAACCGATAGGTGCGGGAGGCGATGCGCTCCTCCGGTGCGATGGCCGGTGTCCGGCTGCTCGCCGTGGCGAGAGATAGCCGAGAGATAGCCGAGAGGCAGCCGAGAGGCAGTAGACAGCCGAGCTGTGGCCGAGGTGGTGTCTGCGGAGAGCGGTGGCGGAGCTTGCGAGGCGCGGGGAGGCCGCGGCGGTCTCTGCACCGCTGCAGCTGTGAGCAGGCGAGCCCGCGGGGGGAGGCGTGGGGCGGGGTGGAGGAGGGGGCCAACGTGGGCAAGCGGCGCGCCGCCGCAAAGAGAGGCTTCATCGAGGCGCGCAACGCTGCGGGTCTCGTCAACCGGACGGCGAACTTTGCGGTGAGATCTAGCCGAGATATGGCCCCGGGGGCGAGGCACGGCCGAGAGACAGCCGAGAGGCAGCCGAGAGGCAGCCGACAGACAGGCGCGAGACCGCCGACAGACAGCCGACAGACAGCCGACAGACAGCCGACAGACAGCCGACAGACAGCCGACAGACAGCCGACAGACAGCCGACAGACAGCCGACAGACCGCCGACAGACAGCCGACAGACAGCCGACAGACAGCCGACAGACAGCCGACAGACCGCCGACAGACCGCCGACAGACAGCCGACAGACAGCCGACAGACAGCCGACAGACCGCCGAGATTCCCTTTGCACAGGCGCTCTCCTCCGACCTGCGCCTCCTGTCGGCCAGCCACGGCTTCGTCGGCACCGCCGCCTCCTGGACCTCGAGGCTCGCGCTGCTGGCTATCACGGGCGAGCGGGGGGCGCTGCCGCCCTTCGTCATGCTCGACCGCCCGCTCGGCCAGCTGTGGTTCGCGGGCAAGAGCTGAGCGGCGCCGGGGGCGTTGCGACTTTTTCTTTGTGGCTTCTTCCTAAAAGGTCAGTTCATGTGTGGTAGACCGAGAGCTTAGTACACACCTGTCCACCTTAAAAAAGAAGAAAACGCCCCTCCGACGTCCTCCAGGCTCTTCCCACCGCCGTCTCCCTCGCCTGCTGCACCGATGGCCTCCCACCGCATCGGCGCGCGCGTCGCGGGCCTCTCGCCAGCGCAGCTGTGCGCCATCATCGAGGCGCAGGCGGGCGCGAGCGACGCCGCGCTGCGCGTGGCGGAGGAGCACGCCGCTCGGCTCGTGGAGCAGCCCGAGTGGGTGCTCTCCGAGGTCCTCCTCTCGCCGGACCTCGCCCCGCACATCCTCGCCCAGCTGCCGACCACGGAGCACGCCGCCAAGGGGACGTGCCGCGCGTGGCGCCGCGGCTGGAAGGAGACGCTGAAGAAGCGCGAGAGGCTGCGCCTGGTTGTGTTCGGCGGCCGCAGCGGTGGCGAGTTCGTCAGCTCGCTGGAGCGGTACGACCCGTCAACGAATGAGTGGGAAGAGGAGGCTGTGGCGCCAATGCCTTCGCCACGCGCGTATGTCGGCACGGCGGTGCTCGATGGCAAGCTCTACGCGGCGGGCGGCGAGAGTGAGTCTGACGGCGCAAATTCCAACTCGGTGGAGCGGTACGATTTGGCTACGAAAGCGTGGGAGGCGGTGGCGCCGATGGCGGTCGAGCGGTTTTCTCCCGCCGTGGCGGTGCTCGACGGCAAGCTGTACGCTGCGGGCGGCTTCTGCAACGACCACGGTTTCCTCAGCTCGGTGGAGCGGTACGACCCGAGAGAGAACGCGTGGGAGGCGGTGGCGCTGATGGGGTCGGCGCGGCAGACTCACGCCGTGGCGGTGCTCGACGGCAAGCTGTATGCTGTGGGCGGGTACGGCGGCGACGTCCTCGGCGGCTTCGGCCGCCTCAGCTCGGTCGAGCGGTACGATCCGACAGCGAACGCGTGGGAGGCGGTGGCGCCGATGATGGCGGCTCGGGACTATCTCGCCGTCGCGGTGCTAGACGGCAAGCTGTATGCTGTTGGCGGGTACGGCAACGGTTACTACGCCCTCAGCTCGGTGGAGCGGTACGATCCGGCGCTGGATGCGTGGGAAGTGGTGGCGCCGATGGCAGAGGCGCGGTATAAGCTCGCCGTGGCGGTGCTCGACGGCAAGCTGTACGCTGTGGGCGGCTACAACGACGACGTTGACTGCCTCAGCTCGGTCGAGCAGTACGACCCGGCAGCGAACACTTGGGAGGCGGTGGCGCCGCTGGCGACGGCGCGGGGCTCGTATCCCGTAGCTGTCTTGATGTAGACCAAGAGACGGCTGTTTCGCGCACGGGCCGCGCGCACCCGCGCACTCAGAAACAGTGCGTAGAGCGGTCTGATCGCTCTGAGCTCTCCTGTGATGTCTGATGATGATCACAGATCAGTGATGACTGATGTCTGTCAACACGAACCGACACGAGAGCGAAAGCAGCAGCTGAGACAGGAGAGGATGTCTCGCAAGTAAAGCCGTAAAAGTAAGAGGCCCGGGCGGGACGGCGTCGTCTCACCTACCACACGCTACAGGCTAGCCTACACGCCCAAGCCTCATCTGTTCACTCTTCACGACGTGCCTGCCGCTGGCCGCCCGTGGGCCGTCGCTGAAGCAGCAGCGGCACAGGCGCGGTGAGCAGCGCGAGCAGCGCGGTGCCGAGGAAGGGGAGTGCACCGGGCGTGCCATACTTGCCGCCGAGCGAGAGGGAGAAGAGGTAGTTTGCGATCCACGGCGTGATGACACGGCATCCAGCCTGAAAGGACTGGAGGTAGGCGAGGTTCGGCCTAAGGAAACAATGGCCGTGGCCTGCCCTCACATGGGGTGGGGGGGGGGGGCGGGGGCAAGCCGGGTGGGAGGGGGGGCTGGGGCCCGCGGCCGAGGAAGGCAGCGGCGGCGAGGGCAGAAAGCAAGGGGGAGGGGGGGGGGGGGGGGGGGCCCAACCAAAGGGAAAGGATTTTTCCCCCGCCCCCCCCCGGCCGGAAGGGGCAAGGGTAAAGGGCCACTTTCCCCTTCTCCCCCCCCCCAAAACCCGGGGGCCCCCTGGAGGAAAAAACATCCTCCCACCGCTCAATTTCCCCACCCCCC